AATTCTTCGTTAAGACAATTTATGTCCAAAGTGCAATATTTCATCCATTTCAGGGCATAAAAAATTTCACCTTGCTGCAGATTTTTTAATTTTTCGACTAAAAAATTTGAATGCTCCATGAGCACATTTTGACGATTTTTAAGATTCCAAAGGTGAAAATATGAAGCTAAATATCTTCTCCTTCTTCTCCAATTATCATCAGGACTTTATTTGATTAAACACAGAAAATTGAAAACAACAACATTTTAAATAAATGTAAAATAATACATTACCTGTAGAAAATAGTATTTTTTCCAAACACTGGAATAAAGAAATCGTAAGTAGCATCCTTATTGATAAAACTGTTGCTTTTTAGAACTTCCTACAAAAAGCAATAAATTTTCATTTATAATAAACATATTATATAACTATATACAGTATTATTCATTACCTTTGCAGATTCCGGGTGTATGAAAATAAACACTTTATATCCACATATGTTCATGTATACAACTTTCTCTTTTTGAAATAATATAGAGAGTCCAAGTAGTACATTCGAAGTAACTTCATAAAGAGGAAACAATTATTTATATATTCATAAATAATCAAATTTTTCGATAAAAGGTAATAACATACGTATGCCTAAAGTCGATTTGTAGTATTCTCTGTCACGTGAAAGAAATAATCTATTCCACAAAAAATGGTAAAACGGATATAGATGGAAGTTTTTTCATTTTCATATCCTGAACATTTCTTTTATTTTCTCGTAGATTTTTATCTGTTATTAAATAAAAGTAAATATGAACTTTGCATCGCATTTCGCATAGAACCTCAACGTTGTCGGTTTGGATTGAAGTTACACTGGTAAGTGAAAAATGTGCTAAATGTAATTATTACTTGCTTTATCAAAACTGAAAATCTATCAACTGTGTTCTTTCTTATTTGTTGTTTTAACGACTTTAGTTCCCGAGGCTTAATTAATTTTCGCTCGGAAAATGCTTAATGTATTGGCTCTTTGATATTAAATAATTATTTCCACTTAAAAGAAAATCTGACAGCCAAAGAAAGTGCTGGGAAATAACTGCAATGAAATAAATACTCTCAAAAACGTGTTTTTATAGAAAAACTATATAAAAAAGTTAAAATAACCATTTGAAAAATATAGCTGCAATGATTGTTATTCTTTGATTTGACACAGAGCGAAAATTTACGTGTGCATTCTACATTGTTTACAACCTGATTGACCTTTTTTCCAGGAAATTTACATGTAGGCCTACTGCACGTCTCTGGGAAAGATTTGTTTAAAGCACGCAGGGAACCAGTTTACCACATTTATTGAAATATAACACAAAATTCACAATCTTTATGCTGTTAAAATACAGGGGAACCGAACAAAAAGTATATATAAAAAATTCTAGTAAATAAAAAACAACAAATATCGGCTGATGTCATAAAAAACATCCAATAGTATTTCTAAAAATTTTACAAAAATCAAATCTGTCCTATAAAAGTTTAGAACGATTTGATTTAACCATATTAATATCTAAGCATATTAATATTTCGTATGATTTATTATCTAATGATAAAAAAACAGTATTAAATAAATTTAATTTAAAATACATTAACAGTAATAAAAAAATAATTCCCACTATTCTTGATAAAACAAACTATGTAATTCATTACAGAAATTTAAACTTTGATCTAGAACAGGGGTCGGCAATTTTTTGAGTCGGAGAGCCAAAATTACAATTCACAAAATTTCAAAGTTTTTAAAGAGCCACAAAATTTTTTCTTGCCAACAATAAATAGTACTCGAATAAATAAAGTTTTTTTTTTTTATAAATCTATTTATTCATATATAAATAGTGTTTTTCACAACAAATTAGATAATAGAAACATCCGACGACGGCGTCATTCGAGAGCTTCCGACGGACTGACGACAGTGACGACGCGTGTCACGGGGGAGGGGTGCGGTGAAAAGCGAGTACAAGTGGCTGAAAGGTAGAATCAGTGACGATTCAGAACGATTTTTAAATGATTTTTTTTTTTATAAAATAAATAATATTTGAGTATGGAACTAAAGAGCCGCAGCTTCATATCCAAAGAGCCGCATGTGGCTCGCGAGCCTCAGGTTGCCGACCCCTGATCTAGAAGAATGACCGATTATGACGATTATTTTTTAAATTAATAAATGAAAGTTTTTTTAGCAAAACATATCAAAATGTATCTGAAAAGTAGCCACGACATTAAATCAATATCGCAGATATCCATCTAAACTGTATGTAGAAAAATTTCAAATTATAAACGATAATCTCACAGTTTTTAAAATAAAAAAATTTAATTTATATCTAAACCAATTTATATTGGTTTTGCGTATTAGAATTAAGCAAATTACACATTTATGAAACTTTTTATAAAATACTTAAAAATAGGTAGGGTGAACACAGATTCTCTGACATTTCAAATTTATACAAACGATGTTTATGAGGATTTTAAATCGTTTCCCGATATTTTTGATAGTAGTTACTATTCCAAAACTCACAAATTATATAACGAAACTAACACATATAAATTGGGATATTTTAAAGACAAAACACTGTCAAAACCGATAATTGAATTTTGCTCCCTAAACACAAAAATGTATTCTTATATTTTTGATAAACAAAACAAAAACACTGTTGAGGGAATTAAAAAATCTGTTGTAAAGACATTTAATCATGGTAAATATAAAGAAGTTTTATTCAAAAGAGAGCTATTAAGGCATCAGCGATATGAAATTAAAAGCAAAATTCATGTAGTAACAACGTATCTACAAAATAAAATTTCTCTTTTTCCATTTTACGATAAAAAGTTCATTTTAGATAATGGAACAGACGTGCTATCGTTTGGTCACTGCAATTTCTACTTTTAATTCTTGCAGATATTATAATATCATCATCTTCTTCGCGATATGTCTTTTTAATATTATACAAAACTAATGTAATACATAGCATTTGTAGTAAAACCTACCCGTGTTTAAAGCAGACGTGTAATACAGCGGCATCGTTAAAATTGCCAAATAATAAAACAAACGATTGTAAACTTTTTATAATAACCAATAAAACAGCATTACCGATATTCAACAAATATTTTATAAAATGTGATTGTATGAAATGTAATATTAAATAAATATTTTATTTTTTAGAATTTTAATATTTTAATAAATTATCCGAAAATGTAAAAATCGCCAAAAAGGCTTTTGTGGGAGCAGTTGGATATGATCTATTCTGTAATAATGGCTTTAAAATTAATCCAAATAAACAAAAATTAATAGCTTAAAATGTTCTTTATCCATGAATAATATTATAATTAATGCAGAAGTAATTGCTTGTGACTACCGTAGAAACATCAAGGTTCTGATGTATAATTTCGGACAGTGTCAGTTCTGATATTTTAACTTCAAAGCAAGTGTTTTTTTTTTTACTTAAAGAATTTGAAAACTTTAATAAATTATCCGAAAATGTAAAAATCGCCAAAAAGGCTTTTGTGGGAGCAGTTGGATATGATCTATTCTGTAATAATGGCTTTAAAATTAATCCAAATAAACAAAAATGAATAGCTTTAAAATTTCCTTTATCGATGAATAATATTATAATTAATGCAGGAGTAATTGCTTGTGACTACCGTAGAAACATCACAGTTCTGATGTATAGTTTTGGACAGGAAATTATTATTTTTGAAAATTATGCATTGGACTCTATATTGGAAGAGATTGATTAGACATCATTGACAGAGAAGAAAAATGCTTTGGAGAATGTACAGAAATTACCTTTTCTCAAAAAGAATTTTGCACTCAATTATTTTATATATGTTTACTCAAGTACTACGTACTCAATTTAAATCTGTATTCAATTCAAATAATGTAGCCCAATAAACAAATAGAGGAGAAGGTGGTATTATGGAATCCCATTTTGATTATAGTAAATTAAAAATAAGGTATTATAACTACATCCACATTTTTTTGTGAGAAAAGTACTGCTAACTATTCAACTAAATGTTCCTAATTGGACTTTTCGCTAGTTTAAATATAATTATAGTTTTTGAAGACTTTTGTACAAAAAGTCAGAAAGTAGGCTTAGGGAAAACAGGGTGGTAATATGGAACATTACGGTATGTTTTCAAAAAATGCTTTAATGTATTTAAAAACAAATAGGAAAGTACAAAAAATGTTAAATAATTACAAAATTACTTACTCCAGTGTATTATAACGCAAAAATGATTTAATAATAATAATAATAATAAAGAAATGTACAATAAAGAAGCTAATCATTTACAAAAATCACAAATATAATGCTCCTATAGAGTTAGGTATCTATTTTTACTTTTTTCATTTTCCTTCTATTTTTTCATTAATGTACCACATATTTCTACAAAAGTTAGACGGGTTCTATATTAAAAGCACCAATGGGGTCCGTATTTCACGCATCGCCATCTCGAATTAACTTATGCCTGTCAAGACCAAATTTTAAAAAACGTGAACATCACACAGATTAATATACCCCTAAGTCTCTGGAACGGAATACGTGCACCAGCGAACGTATTACTACAGGATTTATATTTTAGAAATAATTAAATTCACTTAGCTTTCAAAACTTTCGGATTTCGTAATGCACAAATATGCTGATTCACTACAGACAACCGTTTAACTGAAGTGAAACGAGTTTTCCCCTCGCTAAGGATGTCTGCCTAGTGCAGTTCAGACACAATCCGCTACAGTTCAGTTAATTTATTATCAGTTTGAAATGGAGAGGTTCCATAATACCACCTTTTCCTCTAATACAATATAATAAGAAGCTTACAGCAGAGATACACAAACATTTTATATACAGTAATAGACAAACTCAGAATGTGGAGATTTGCAAAAATTTGCGAAGTTGAAATTTGACGCGATTCCGATACTTTTTTTTATGTATATGTACTGTACATGAGAACTTCAAAAGTAAAATCGGACATTCTTTTATAAATATTCCATATTTAAATCATAAATAATGCATTAAAAGTAATCGCAAAGCATCACGTCACGTGGTAGACAATTAAATGTTAATATTTAAAAATTGAGCTTATAATTCTCTGCATATTTGTTCCATGTCGAATCATTTTCCTGTTGTTTTCTTCCGTTTCTCCATTTCTTTCCTATTGAATATATCACAAGAAGAAAAATAATAACTAAACTTAACCGAATTTGGAACGAACTCAACAGACACATGATCAATATTTTTTCTTGATCTGCAGTTTTCGATGCGGTTCGTAATAATCAAATATCTATGCGTAAAACAAGAGCCGAATAATGCCAATCAGAATCAGAGTTTTTTGCCAAGTGATCACAGTCTTCCTATTATAGAAGACTAACTTCGCACTACGAGACTTAACTTCTCCCACTTGTTCTCTCGAGCTTCGAAAATTTAATTTATGTAATTCGTAATTTAAGTACATTTTGATAATTACCATTTACTAAGTACTTACTAATAATTACTTATAAGTACTAATAATTAAATCTTACTTTAATTTATATTATAGTTGAGTTATTAAGGGTAACGACGTTACCTATTCCGACGACGATAGTGCGCCATAACCGGTTCTGTTACTCCGACTCTTTCTTAATTCTTAACTTTTTAAGTATATAAAACGGAAAAGTATTGGAATCGTGTGAAATTTGACCCCTCAAGTGTTTTTTACAGATCTACACGTTTGGAGACCTCCCGAATACCTGAAAAAAGTCTATAAAAAGGGAAAAATTCGCGCGCGCGTGTGTATTGGCGTCTAATTTGTTTAGAGATAACAAAATGTGACTCTGTGGCTCGCGTGTAAAGGGGCATTAATACTATTAAATGTTGGTTTTTAATTAA